ACTGCCAGTGGCGAGCCGGGGCGCCTCGGTGTCGGGGCCGGACCCGTGACCCGGCGCAGCGACTTTCTGAAGAAGACCGGCAGCAACTCCTTCACCGTCCACCCTCGGGGCTTGGCCCGCGGCGTGGGCACTCGCTCACTCTCCAACGGGCCCGCCGACCCCGAACCCCTGGCCGGCCCTGCCAACGGGCTCGCGGGCTCCCCAACTGCGCCGGGCGAGTGGAAGCCAAAGGTGGAGTCGGGGGAGCCCTCCCTCCACCCGCCCCCTAGCCCTGGGACCCCGAGTGCCACTACAGCCGCGCCCCCTGCCTTCTGCGCGCCCAGCTCTGCCAGTGCCACTTCCACTCCCAGCCACTGTCTGAGAGTCTCTGCTGCCGCCAGCGCCAACAACTCCTTCGAGATAAGGCCAGCTCCCAAGCCAGACATGGAGACCATCCCTTTGGGGGACCTCCAGGCACGAGCCCTGGCTAGCCTCCGTGTGAACTCCCGCAACTCCTTCGTTTTCATCCCCAAGCGCAACGCCTCCAGGGCCCCTCTTCCCCAGGGGAAGCAGTTGGTTGAGCTGCCAAAGCCAGAGATGGGCTGGGCTTCTCAGAGTGAGGAGCTCAGAGCCCAGCTGGTGTCTGGAGGGGATGGTGTGCCTGCCCTCCGAAGGAGCCCCTCTAGGATTGAGGTGCAGTGGGCAGCCAAGGAGGGGGGCTGTCCCAGGCCAGCCATCACCCTCACAGACCGGTCCATTAGGTGGCAGAGGCCATCCTCACCGCCCCCATGCCTACCAGTCACTGCTGAGGCAGAGCCTGCTGAGAGTTTGGGGATTCCCAGCTGCGCCAAGGATGATGGGGAGCATTCAAGGCCAGGACTGCCCATCACCTTCATTGATGAGGTGGACTCAGAGGAGGAAGCTCCCCAAGAAGCCAAACTACCCTGCTCAGGGGCTGAGGTCCCTCTCCAGTACCACCTGCACCGTGCCAGGCCTGAGCACTCCTCAGAGCTCCAGCATCGAGGCAGCAACACATTCACAGTGGTGCCCAAGAGAAAGACAGGGGCCCTGCAAATGCCACAGTCGGATCAAGCCAATGGGGAGCCCCCTCCACGGAAGCCTGAGGAAAAGGAAGCTGGTAGTCTCTCGGGATCTTTTGCTGCCCTGGGTACCACACTGAAGAAGCGCTACCCTACTGTGCATGAGATTGAGGTGATTGGTGGCTACCTGGCCCTGCAGAAGTCCTGCCTCACCAAGGCTGGTTCCTCAAGAAAGAAGGTCAGTGGTTGGGGTAGGACTACCTTCTAGGAGAAGAGAGTGAAGGACAGGGAGCTGTAGGTAGAGTGTGAGCCCAGTTCCCAGGATACCTGACCTGGTGGGGGAAGGCTTCTATCTGGACTAGAGGAGAACTGGGGCTGTGACTAGGCCCAGGGCCCCTGTGGAGTTCTAAGGCCCAACTGACCTGCTATATACTTTGCAGAGTTGAATGGGTGGGCAGCCAGCTAGTGCAGAGCCTCCTGACAGTTCTTATGGCTCCATCTGGAATAGGCTGGATAGGCCTGTGCCATTGTGGGTCTGGCTGAGCCTTGTTGGCTCTGCCCTGGCCTTAGCTTTGAAGGGTAGCCTGCTATGGTCCTGTGGATCTCATCCTGCACAGTTTGTCAGGACCAGGACGTAAAGGGACAGAACAGAAGGCAATGATGTTGGTGCAGTCAGATCCCTACCTTGAGATCAGCATGGGGGCAGAACTCATGAGCTAGTTGAAGGGGCTCTCAGTTGCCCAAAGGTCCATGGCCCAAAGCTTGGCAGGCCCTGGCCTTGTGCATGAGTGTCCTGGACACTGACGATGTGTACCAGACCTGGTCAGGAGACCCAAGAGCATCCCTGCTGGAGGCACACAGCAGGCTAGCCAGGTGAGCCTCACTCCTGGCCATCTCTAGCCAGTGGCCTGGGACCCTCTGGGCACAAGGAAAGCATTCCTCAGATTCTTCCTGGTCATTCTGGGCCAGTGTTTGTCCCCTAGGGCAAATTCCAAGTCCCGTTGCCTGAGTCTGTCAGCTGTAGGAGTCCAGTATGTTCTGCTGTCGCTGGGACCAGCCTGGGTGTGCCTTCCCCTGTTGCTGGGATAACCAGAGTCCCCTGGTGTTGGCCCAGCCCACCTCTCCCCACCTGCTTCCTTGGGATGGTAGGTTATTTCCTGCCCTGGGAATTGGCCTTAACATTAGCCCTCCTGGAGACTCCCATCTGCTGGGTCAGAAACCCATAATGATCTCCCTGAGAGTTCCAGGCTGGAGGGTCAGGGCTGTGACACTGGGGTGCCCTGTGGGGCTCTCTCCCACTCTTGGCCTTGCTCACTCTGAGCCCTTGAGGGAAGGCTGGGCTGTAGCCTGAGCAGTCACTGCTCCAGCCTCTGCCCGTATCCAGCCTCTGTTCCTCCCTCCCTGCTTCCTGACTGGACCTTGCCCTTCTGTCAGGTGGTCCCTCCCCATGTTTGCCCCAGAAGTAGAGGGGATGACAGTGTGCTCATATAGATGAAGAGGTAGGCTTAGGAGGTTTATGGGGCCATGGAGCTCTGGGGGTATGAGCTGAGTCCAGGTTCCTGTTTCCAAAGCCTTACCCCTAATAGTGTTACCTGTCCACCATGAGCCTGGCCTCTTCCTGGGACTTGGGGGGAGCTGCCAGAGCATGGCCATCTGCCTTCAGCCAGCAACAGAACCATGGTCCACTTGCAGCTGAGCTGGAGTGAGAGGGGTAGGGCAGAAGGAACTGTGGGAGGCAGGACTGAGACTGAGAAGCAGTCTCCATGCCAGCCTGAAGCGCTGAGGGTCCAGATGGATGGCACCAGGCATGGTTAAGCAGGCTGGCCAGGGCCCTGCCTGAGCTCTACCACTTGCTGGTGGACATCCTGCCTGTGCCCACACCAGCTGCCCTACTCAGCAAGAGCCGGGAGGCCTGTTGGGAAAGGACAGGGCATGCCCAGCCTTTCAGAACACTCTGCCTTTTCCTGGGCATCCCTCCTGCCTGTAGTCCCTGGGCCACGAGCATCCCATGGGGTACTTCGGCAGGCCCCCAGCTGCTGAGCCAGCCTTTGGTCAAGCACTTTCCTGCTCTCCCTTGGGGAAGTGGGTGGGCTGGGGGGCACAGCTTGGAGGACCTTGGGCAGACTGTTCACTTGGTGGCTCCTGGGCGATGGTGGGAAGTGCTAGTGACTTTCCCAGGGTGTAGGTGAGAGGTAGCTCTTCAGGAACTGTCTGGCAGCGAGGTTAGCGGGAGAGCCTGGCCCTGGCCTGACAGCCCTCACTTAACTTCAGAGGCTCAGACCTGCTGTGAGTGGTGGGGGCACCTCCTCGCTGGCCTGTGCCCCACAGAGCCTGCCTGGCAGAGGCACATTTCCACTTAGGTTGTTTGTTGGCAGAGCAGACAGATGCCTTGTTCTTCCATCCCTCCATGAGCTGGAGAGCATACTTCCACTATTGCGGCCCAACGCAGTTGCAGCCACTCTGCCCACTCGGCAGTCTTCCTAGAGGTTGGGAATGTCTTTTCACCCCTCCTCACGCTGCCTCCCAAAGGGATGGACACTGTGGAGTGCCACCTGTCCTGACTCCTGTCTGGCAGTGGCTTCCCCTCCCCACCTCCTGGTCCTCTGTCCAACCCAAGCATGTCAGTGTCCCCAGAACTCAGTCATTGATACCCAGGCCTCCCACTTCACCTTCAGTTAACTTTTTTCACCCCAAATTCCATGGTTCAGCTGAGACTCTCAGCCTCATTCCCATCTGTAGATACCAGGGTGTGGCCCTCATGAACCGGCCCTGAGTCACCCCTCCCTGCCAGCTTGGAACCCTGAGCCTGGTGGGCATGCTCCCTCCCCCACAGGACACTAACCTCTCACCTACTGTCCTTTTCTTCCAGCTCCCTCCTCCCACTTTCCATGAGCACCCCGGAGGTGGTCTTTCTGGGGCCAGGAACCCCAGGACCTACTCCAGATGGCTTCCTCACTTGTAGAGGATCTGCCCAGTGCTGGAGGCCAAGTGTGCCTCTGAGAACAAGCAGCTGTGTACATCCCAGCCGGGTTTTCCTGGTCCTGTGTCCTGTCACCCATGGGAACTTTGACTGGAGGCTGTGGCAGGAGGGCAGGGCCAACCTCAGTGCACACTTCCAGGCAGGTTAAGCCCAGCTCACTGGCCCTCAGTCCAGTGTGGACACCCTTCAGTAATTCAAGCTGGGTGTGCATCGGCAGGGTGGGTGGAGGGAGAACAAAAGGGCCCTGTGAACGCCCAGAGGCTCCTCTACCACCTGCCTGCCGAGCTGGGTGCGATGGGCAAAGTCCCTTAGAGGCCAGTGACCAGGTGTATGCAGTACCAGCCCTGGCCACACCCTCCACCCATCCTGGCAGCCCAGGGTCTGGAGGGTGCCCCACTCCACAGCAGTATGAGTCATGGGATGTCCTGTGACCCACTAACCTGTGTTCTAAGGGGGAGGGAGGGCTGTGAGGCCCACACAGCACTGGCCCAGTAGAGAAGACAAGGGAGGCAAGACGTGACGGGGACCCTGGGTCCCAGCTGGGACTGATGGGCCTGTGAGCACCTCCCGCTCAGCCCAGCCAGGCAGTGCCAGGCTCGGTGCCCACGTGTATCCAACCCCCAGGCCTCTCTGGTAGGAGCCAGTCATGCGGACTAACGAGGGCTCACTAATCCCGCCAGGCCCTGGCAGCTGGTCCTTCCTGTGTCCTCCGTGGTGGGGGATGGGTCAGGGTCAGCAGAGAGAACTCCATGTACCCATGGGCCACTGGGAGCCCAGTTCACCATGGGACTTGGGGCAGGAGGAGCCCAGTTCCATCCTACCTTGGGCCCCTCCTGGAGTATCTGCCCTCAAGGGCTGCTTCATGAGGGCCAGGTGACACTGTCCTCAAGCTGACTGGCAGCAGGTAGATGTCTGTGGGGTCTAGTGGCTACCCCACTGTCATGGCCTTGTCTCTGTCCCATCTCCCATGGGACCACAGCTGGAGGACTGGGTGGGCCTACTAGAGGGCAGGGTCAGATGAGGGACAGCTTGCCTTCACCTGACAGCAGACGTCTTCCTTCTATTCCGCCTGACCCAGGTGGTCTTCCCATCTGCTCATCTCCCTGACCACATGTCTGTGCGGACAGCTAGGCTGGGGGGCTGAGTGGGAGTGGGACTTGGTGATGCATTGCTTTGCAAGGCTCTGTGTGAGCAGGTAGAGATAGGGGCACTGGGAGCTTAGGCAGTCACCCCTCATCCCTGAAGGGCCAGGCTAACCATAGCTGTGAGTGCAGCTGTCAGGGCTGAGAAGCAGGAGGCAGAAGTGTATGCCTTCATCTCTGGAGGCCTCCTCACAGGAAGTGCCTCTTACCCCTGGTGGGCCTTGTGTGCTTGCCTTGTGGCCTGTACCTGGTCCCTCTGCCATCCTGTACCTCAGCTGCTTTGGAGCAAGCCCTCCTGCCAGGCCACTCTCCCATTCTGCTGTTCCTGGGCTGCTCTGGTTCTCTGCCTGGAGCTGTTCCTGCCTCCAGCTCCTTCCAGGGGAGGTGGGGGAACTTGAGCTGGTTGCTGGTGTCTTGTGCCCTGGAGTTTAATATTTCGAGCCCAAGCAGGGCTGTTCCCATCTGCTCAGGCTGGTAGCTGCTCATATTCATTACCGTCCAGTCAGGCTCAGGCCAAGCTCAGCTGAGCAGGTCTGGGGAGACTGAGTTGCCCCCAGCAGAGCCTGACCTGGTTGAACAAGGGGAGGATCCTAACCAAGAGTGCCCATGGCCTTCTGCCCCCCCACTTTGGGGGGCAGTAGGGTGGGAGTTGGAGGTCACTGGCACCCCAGGTTTACAGAGGCAGACCCACCACTTGGCCTGTAAAATGGGTGAGGGAGGGCTGTGAGGCCCTTACAGGTGCTGGCCTTTCATGCAGGCCCTTGGTAGTATGGTGGTCAGTGCTATCCAGGATTGTCCAGGTGCCCAGATGGCCAGGATATAAACTTGTTTTTAGGAGCTGCTGGAGGACAAGGGTTGAGGGGCTGTGTGAAGCCTTCGGCTCCAGGTAAAGGGTGCTTTCCACCTGCTTAAAGCCTCCAAAGGGCTGATGGGCCCTTACTAGACATGTTCCTCACTCCCAGATGAAGATTTCCTTTAATGACAAGAGTCTACAGACCACATTCGAGTACCCCTCTGAGAGCTCCCTAGTGCAGGAGGAAGAGGTGGAGGCTGAAGAGGAGGAGGAGGAAGAAGGAGAGGAGGGGGAAGAAGACGACGAGAGACTTGGTTCAGAGGAGAAACCCTTTACCCTCTTCCTGCCTCGTGCCACGTTTGTGAGCGGTGTGGGGCCCGAGAGCCCCTGGCTGCCAGAGGGCAGCTCAGGTGAGTGTCCTATGATGGGCAGCTGGGAGGGGGTGGTGCCTGGGCCACACGTTCACGTATCTGTGTGTCCATGCACGTGCTCCTTGGCCCACAGGCCTGTCCAGCTATACTCCAAAGCACTCCATGGCCTTCAGCAAGTGGCAGGAGCAGACACTGGTGCAGGCTCCAAGGGAGGCAGAGCCCCCACCCAAGGAGGTCATGGTGAGTTAGCACAACAGGAGTATATACCCACAGTACCAAGGGCTATCTGGTGGGGGACAGGGGGCAGGTTGGTGCCTAGACAAATCCCAGTGGCTTCGTTTTGTCCTTTCTCTTCAGCTCACACCTGCCAGTCAGAACGACCTCTCCGACTTCCGCAGTGAGCCTGCCCTCTATTTCTGACCCCTGTGCTGCCAGGATGGCCAAGGCTGAGCCCCAGATGTGGTGACCCTGGGAGCCAGACAGTGCCCAAGAGCCCTACCCTTACTTTGCACCTGTGCCTCTTGGCCCTGCTCACCAGCCCTTCCTTCCTATGGCCTCATACCCACGCTGGCCCCAAAAGCAACTGGGTTCCTCCCACTGTCAGGTCAAGTCTTTCTGGGTTTCATCCTGGATTTGGGGACTTCAAGGAAGAGCACAAGTGGGGGACTTCTTGTGGGGAGGGCTGGGGTACTGCTGGATAGTGTCTGTCTATGATCATGTAGGGACTTGGGCAGATTCCAACCCAGGCTGCCCTCTGTCCTGCCTCCAAGGCTACCTCCCAGCCCTGCTGCTGTGCCTGGCAACTAGTGGGCATGTGGGGGTCAGAGGCTGTCCCAGCTGCTGTCCTTTGCAGGATTCCTAGCCCCCTGTCCTCAGCTCACATTCCTACCACGGTGGAGCTCAGCCTACCCTCTGACAGATGGCAAGTGTTTTCTTGCTTCTGATGTTGGACTCAATAAACAACCCTGGACAAGGCGGCCTCTGCTTCCTTGCTTGTTCTCTAGCCTGAGAACAGGGTGAAGGGCCAGCCTGGGCCAAGGAGGGTGGGAGGTAGTTCCAGTGGTTCTCATCGAGGTCCTACTAGTCCCAGCTCTTATCCACCACAACCCATTATCCTGCTTCCCACTCTCCCAGCCTTCCAGAGCCCACAGTGGGAAGCAGCAGTCTGGAACTCATCCTGGATTTCATCCTAGGATGAAATCTAGAACCAGGGGCCTAAACCCCAAGTGGGAAGGTGAGTGTATTTCAGCTATCAGGTCCAAAGTGGCTTTGTCAGGGGCCAGGAGCCTGGGAGGGTGCCAAGGCAGGACACAGTGGGAGGTGCAAGAGTGTTACGTGGGAGAAGCCTTGGGGATCTTGTCTTTATGTTTGCCTTGGAAGCTCCTTGACCCACAATAGCCTACAACAAGATCCTGGCAGCAGACAGCTTTGCAGATGCCAGGGAGAGACAGGGCTACCTGCTTGGGAGCAGCCCCAGCTGGAGTCCAACATGCTCAGCTGCAGTGCAGAGCTGGGGTTGTCTACAGCTACTCAAGCGCCAAATGCAAGTGTTGCATCCTGGAGAGCTGAACCCAAGATCAGAGGTGCTGTCCAACCAGGCTCTTGGAGGGAGGAGAGTAGTTGGTTGCCCAGGAGGGGTGGGCCCAATTTCCTCTGGACCCTCTTGGCCAACACAAGCTTTCAAACAAGCCCAGACCCTGGGCAGCTGCAGGGACCCCATGAAGGCCAACAGAGCTGGGCCCAGGGTGCCTGGAAGGATAGAACTGGGCAACAACTGGTGTATGGCTAGGGAGGAACACCAGCCCCTGCCAGCAGCAGAACTTGGCATGAGGAATGGGCACAGGTGAAGTCCCCCTATTCCCTACTGAGCAGGACCTGGGCTTCCAGTGGGTGGTGTGGGTACTTAGGGGTCACTAGTTATTTCTAGCCCAGGTTCTTTGCTTGACAATAGGGTGTGGCAGAAACCCTCATAGGACAGGGGACAGGATCAGCAATTCTGCTGGGAGAGCTGAGGCTGGGGCTGGCCTAGGCAAGGTGGGCCCTCAGCTCTGTGTCCCTGAGATGAGGAGCAGTCACAGGGAAAGCCACTACAGGCCTTCCCCTCCCTAGAAGGAGCCCCCACAGCTGGACAAGATTTGCATTCTGGCTCTGCAGGTGTCTGGCAGCCCATGTGCTAGGCAGATAGGAGGCTGGTAAGGATCTGTACAAAACAACCTTTATTGACAATTTGGGTTCTGGAGTGAGGGAGGCCCCTTTCCCCACTTGTCTCGCCTGGACCCTGCTGACTGAGGTGGGACAAAGTAAGGGGCTCCCACAGTGCTGAAATTAGAACCAGGATCTTTCTGGCAGCCCAAGAGAACATGGGGGCCTCAAAAGAGAGGCCCCTTGCAGAGCTGACCTGGAGCCCAACATCCTCATTGCCTGGATGAGTCAGGTAGAACCCTTCCCACCCCTGTGGGCTGTGCCTAGGGTTTTTCTTATCACCCTAGGCTGGTAGAGGTTGACTACAGCCCCTCTGGGCACCTGAAACAATGAGAAGACAGTTGCTGCCATGAAGAGGATGCTTTAAGACAGATGTGCTGAGGGCTGAGTGGTCATAGGGCACATTTGAGACAGGCCCCTGCCCACCCAGCCCATCAGCTGTCCTTGCCTCCGCTGCTCTTCTGGTCTGAGGCTGTGGCCTTGGTTAGGTTCCCGGCTTCCCTCTTCAGGACACTGAGCAGAGTCTGTGAGCTTTCCAAAATCTGGAGCCACAGAAAGAAGGTTGCTGCTGCTTTCGGCCATCAGTCCCTCTGCCTCAGCCCCCTTACATGAGGTGTTGGAATCTGGGAAGGGCCCCCTTCCTTCCTAAGTTTGACCCACAACCCTCTCCCCCCGCCCTGTGAAACAGGCTGGGCTAGCTCTGGCCCATGCGGTATGCTCTGCTCCTCTCGTTGAGCACAACGCACCACAGTTAAGGAGGATGCAGGACGCAAGGGCCTCGCAGGCAGCCCCACGGTTAAGCCTGTAGCGGCCGCGGTTCTTGGCCTGCCCACGCTGCCCCAGTCGAAGATGCCAGCAAGGCACAGGTAGGAGCCCCACCTTGAGGTAGGCGGCCTCTGTCTCCGCAATGGTTCGGTCAAACTCGTTGCGAGAGGCGATCTTGCGTGCCAGGTTCTCGTTGACGCGGGCCAGCTTCTCCGTCAGCTGCCTCACCTCGTTCTGCAGCCGCTGCTTCTCGTCCTCCTCCTGCTGGATCTGCCGGCACAGCTCCTCTCGCTTCTGACACAGCTCCTCGATACCTGAGGGGGTGGGGATCGCGCCGTAGGCCCAAGGCGGAGGCAGCCTCCGCTCCCTGGTGGAGGTCGGCGGTGGAGGCCGGCTCGTACCGCGCACGTCCCGGCCGGGCCTCGGGGGCGCAGGACCGTGCCAGGCGCGGTCCAGAAAGACGCGGCTCTGGGCTCGCGCGGGCCGGTTCGCGCGGCCTCCCGGAGGCAGGCGGGGCCCAGACCCCCGCCCCGCGGCCCTCTGCCCCGCACTCCCCGTCGCTCACACTTGACTAGCTCGTTGTTGTAGTTCTGCAGCGCCGCGCCCTGCTGGGTCATGGTCAGCAACGAGTCCCACCGCTTCAACCGCCGCCGGCGTAGCTCGGCTCGCGCCTGCGCACTCCCCCAATAGCGCGCCGTTTGGCGTCATCGCCGTGCGCCTCTCGCGTGCCTCACGTCGACGTGCCGCGCCCAGCGTACGTCATCGCCGGGAGCCACGTAGGGAGGGTCAGGGAACCGGGGGCGCAGATGGAGACGGAGGCTACAGAGGCTGCGGCGGCCGCGGCGGCGGCAGTGGGAGGCGGCGGCGGCGGCGGGCCTGGACAGGAGCTATTGGTGTCCTGGAATACCGTGAGCACCGGGCTGGTGCCGCCGGCTGCGCTGGGGCTGGTGAGGCCCGGGAAGGGAGCGGTGGGCCCGCGCGAGGTTCCCGGAACCCTGCGCGCTTTAGGCCGTCCATCCCACGGTCCACTCGGCTTCGCCCGCTGCGCGCTGTGGCGCCGCCTCTTTCCTCCACTGTCCCGCTTCGTTTCGCTCCCCTGGTAGCCCTTCCCTAGAGTCAGCCGCGGGTGGGAGCAGCGGGGTTTCCGCAACCGCTCCTCCGCTCCCCCGTCTGCGCCGTCTCCCCTTTCCTCAATGGTTTTCCGTGCTCCAGGCGTCTTCCCGGACCAGCGGTGCGGTCCCGCCAAAGGAGGAGGAGCTCCGTGCGGCGGTGGAAGTACTGAGGGGCTATGGTCTGCACTCGGTCCTGGAGGAGTGGTTCGTGGAGGTGCTCCAGAACGACCTGCAGGCGAACATCTCTCCCGAGTTCTGGAATGCCATCTCCCAGCGCGAGAACTCTGCCGATGAACCCCAGTGCCTTCTGCTGCTCCTTGACGCTTTCGGCCTGCTGGAGAGCCGCCTGGACCCCTACTTGCGCAGCCTAGACCTCCTGGAGAAATGGACTCGTCTGGGCTTGCTGATGGGCACTGGTGCCCAAGGGCTGCGGGAAAAGGTCCACATCATGTTGCGGGGAGTTCTGTTCTTTTCCACCCCTAGGACTTTCCAGGAGATGGTCCAGCGCCTCTATGGGCGTTTCCTGAGAGTCTATATGCAGAGTAAGAGAAAAGGGGAAGGGGGCACAGATCCAGAACTGGAGGGGGAATTGGACAGCCGGTATGCACGACGTCGGTACTATCGGCTCCTGCAGAGCCCTCTGTGTGCAGGATGTGGCAGTGACAAGCAGCAATGTTGGTGCCGCCAGGCGCTGGAGCAGTTCCACCAGCTCAGCCAGGTCCTGTGAGTACTTCTGCCTGGTAGTTGTGCCCCTGCACTTCCTAATGACCCACTTACTCCTCTGGGTCCAGCTGTTTTTCGTAGGGAGCTGGTGAGCTAGATGGGGGCGGGGTTGGGTTTTTGTCTTCTTCCACCTGTCCTGATAGCCAGAGACATGACAGAGGGATCTTTGTGTGGCAAGTTAGCACTCTATTCTGGACACAGAAGTGCCTTTTGTCACTCACATCTATCCCAGGGTTTCAGCTTTGGCCTTGCTGAGACCCCACATGGCTTGCATCTGCATTAGCAGATTTCTTTTGATTCCAGACTTGCTGGGCTCCACAGAATTCTACTGTGCTTTTTGTAGACTCACTGAGGTAGAAATAGCATTCATTCCCATGGGAGTCCTCACTTTGTAATTGTGAAGGATGTGTTTGCTGGTTCTTCTTTCCCAAATGTGTCGGAGATTAGGCCACTGTGTCGGTAAACAGGTTTTCTTTCCAGTCCTTCAGAGGGGAAAAGAGGTTCTGCTGTTGTTAGAGCCACATCCTATTGTAGTCTTCTAGTGAGTTTTTCTTCCTCTGTAGCCATTTGTGGTGGTTTGCCACGTTGAAAAACAGGCAGTGATGCAGTTTGGGAAAGTCTGTTAGGTGACTGAGGGAGCAATTCTGTGGCTGGCCAGCATGGAGGAGGCCCTGAAGAGCTTCTGCTATGTTCATCCCAGGTGTAACTTAACATAGTAACCTTCTTTCTTCTCCCGAATCTCATCTGCTACTGTAGGTCTAGGTCTGCACTAGAAGTACGAGCATTAGCAGCTATACTCATGTAGCAGGGCAGTGGTGTGTCAGAGCCCTCCCTAGATGAGACTTGTGCCTTGGTGGCTGTGCCTACTGCCACTGATTGATTACACGGGGAACAGCAGTGCCCTAGTCTGAGCAGAGACCAGCTAGGCAGAAAGGGCAGTGCTTTGCCAGTGCTCTGTCCTGCCAGCAGCTTTTCCTCAATGTCATTAGTAGAGTTGCCTTCACTCCCCACATCAGGAGAGCTGTGGGGAGAGATTCTCTGGGCACTGGGTGTTGGGTAGTGTGTACCTGGCATGTACTCTAGGCAGGGCTGACCTGGGCAAGGGGCAGGTGTGTGTTACGGGTGCTCCACGGGCAGGGTTCTCCTGTAGGCACAGGCTCAGTCTGCTGGAGCGGG